TTATAAAAGCCATCTCCATCTCCTTGAAAGATTCCATCAACAGTGTCTGCAAAAAAATTTACACATCACTTAGGAAGACAGGCGAACTAATATCAGTGTACTGGAAGAAGCAAAGATCACCAGTTTTGAAGCAATGATTCTTCAACATCAACTTCGTTGGAATGGTCACGTTGTGTGGATGTCTGCTGATCGTCTTCCAAAGCAGCTACTCTATTCCGAACTTAAAAATGGAAAGCGTAATGCTGGCAAATCTAAAGGCAAATCTAAAAAAATTTAGTATAAACACTGGCAACTAGGAAACACTGGCCTGTGAGCGCTCCAGTTGGAGAACAGCCTTTACCAAAGGTGTCATGGGCTTAGAAGACATTCAAACTTCAAACTTTCAATTTACTAAAATAGTGTGCCCTGATTAATCAATCCAGTGACTCTATCTATCATCTATCTATCTATAATCTATCTATCTATCATCTATCTATCTATCTATCTATCTATCTATCTATCTCTATCGTCTCTCTCTCTCTCTCTCTCTCTCTCTCTCTCTATCTACATACATACAACAAGAGAGTCATGTGGCGTATTAAAGCCTAACATTTATTATGGCATAAGCTTTCATGGACCACATATGAGCAGTGACATTCCACCATGCCATCTACTGCTGTGTCATGATAAGTAAGCTCCTTTAAGTGACTTGGGTAAGTGCTATATAGGATTGCAGCCTTGGATATATTTAATTTGGTGTCAGGCCTAAGTACAGTATATGTCAAGGTGGGTGCTGCGATTCCTGCATTGCAGGACTGGGTTGAACTGGATTGCATTTTGGGTCCTGTGCAGCTCTACAACTCTACTATTCTAAGCCAGATAATGTAGTGAACTATATGAAGATGGTGAACATACCTCCAACCTGCTTGCCTGGTTTGCAGGGAATTTTGGCTAAGCAGGTAATGGATTGCCTGATGGATGGATGCCTTTTCTTTCTGTAGGTTGATTATAGTGCATAAGCCAACATGCAAAACAGGATCTTGAAACAGCAGCAGCTCTGTCGGCACTAAGCGCCACTGAAGATCCATGGAGAAATAAATGTTAAAATGTAGATGGGGTTAGGATTTGTATGAGTTTCTCTAAACTTTTTGCAAAAGTAGGTGGTTTCAGAGCTGAATGCTGCTGAGCAGGGCCACTTGTTCACTGTTCCTGGGACAGGGAGAGGTGCCCCCAAATGGATCTTTCAATGGAGAGCCAGTGTGGTGTAGTGGTTAAGAGCGGTAGTCTCGTAATCTGGTGAACCGGGTTCGCGTCTCCGCTCCTCCACATGCAGCTGCTGGGTGACCTTGGGCCAGTCACACTTCTTTGAAGTCTCTCAGCCCCACTCACCTCACAGAGTGTTTGTTGTGGGGGAGGAAGGGAAAGGAGATGGTTAGCCGCTTTGAGACTCCTGAAGGGGAGTGAAAGGCGGGATATCAAATCCAAACTCTTCTTCTTCTTCTTTCCAATTTTGTACCATATGTACCACCCTAAATTCAGTGCTGCAGTTGATGCTGAACTACAACTCCCAGCAGTCGGTGTGACATGCCCTGGCCTGCATGCAGGGTGACAGGGTCCAATATCATGTGGCAGGTGACATTTGCAGATTTTCAGTGTACTCCGCCCTGCATGCCAGATGATGGCGTTGTTCAACACAGAGAAGGCCATGTTGAGCAGGCATGGTGCACCCCGCCCTGTGTTGCTCAGAGACGGGTCCAATATTGCGCTGCAGGCTGTGTTTGCCGTTTGCTGTGCGTATCTCACCATGCCCTGCATGCTGGGTGACAGTGTGCACCGCCCTGAGAACTAGGCAATGGGGTCCCTCACTTCATGGCAGGCCGCATCTGATGGCTGTGACATGCAAGCTAGGTGACAAGGTCCAATATTGCTCAGCAGGCCGCATTTGATGGTGGAATATGGTTAGAAAAGCCCAAAATGCCACAAAAGGTAAAGAATGGTCAGATAAACCAAAAAGGTGCCAGGGGGACGGGCACATCTTCAGAAACAAGCACAATTTAATCAGTACTGAAGAATGCTCAGAAAATGTATAAGGTACAAGGAAAAGCAGAACATACTGAGAAACATGCTGAATCCCACAAAAATCAAGAAAGCTTGGGAAAACCATAAAGTCCTAGAAAAGGTGGAAATGGTCTGGAAAAACCCAAATGCCAGAAAAAGCAAGGATAGTCAGAAATTATTTTACTGTTGTTGTATTATTTTACTGTTGTTAGCCGCTCTGAGCCCGGCTTTGGCTGGGGAGGGCGGGATATAAATAAAATTTTATTATTTTATTATTATTATTAAAAACCCAAAAGTCCCTGATAAGAGAAACACACTTAGGGAAAATCCCACCAGTACTGAAGAGTGCTCAGAAGAATTGGGTGCATGAAAAATAATAGCACCCTGAGAAGAACGGAAAACCACAAAAATTGGTTTATTTCACCATTTTTCAGGAATGGTGGTGAAGGGCATTTTGAGTCTTTCTGATCACCTTCATTTCTTCTAAGACTCTTCATTATTGGTGGGATTGTGTTTGTTTCTGAACGTGTTCCCCCTTTCTTTGGGGTTTTGGTCCATCAGACCATTCTCCACTTTTCCTGGCATGTTTGGTCTTTCAGCCCATCTTTCAGCCTTTCTGAGAATCTATTGTGATGATTCTTCTTGACAAGTTGTTGCCATTTTACTTGTTTCTCTGTGCTTTTGACCATTCTGCACTTTTCCTGGTATTTTGCATATTTAACTTTTTATGGGTTTCTGTGGTTATTTTTACCATTCTTCAATATATGTCGGATTTTGCACATTTCTGTGGGCGTTTGGTCATTCGTCACTTCTTCTGGCTATTTGCGTTTTTCAGACCACCTTTTATATTTTCTGTGACTTAATGGTTGTTCTGAGCATTCCTCACCATTTGTGGGATTTGGCTTGTTTCTCAGCGTGTTCTGCTTTCTTGGACATTTTGCTTCTCGGCATTCTGCACTGGTCAGAATCTGGGGGTTTCTGAGGGGGTTTCCCTTTTATGTTGTTTTTGTCATTTCAGGCTTTTCTGACCCATCTTTCACCTTTTTTAGGACCTTATGCTCCATCTGAGCACTGATGGGATTTTGCTTGTTTCTGAGTGGTTCTCACCCTTTTAGGGTGAATTGCCAGAGAACAGCATTTGGGGTACAAAGTGCTCACACCCCATTCTCACTTTCCTATGTGCAGCTTGAGGTGGTAGACAATTCTCTCTGCCTGGGTCCCAGCATAACCAGCAATCTCTCCACCATCGCAGAGCTGGACAAGCATATTGGTAAGGCAGCTTTGGCAATCGCCTCCAAAAGGGTATGGGAAAATGTGATGCCAACAGCCAATACCAAGATGAAGGTCTACTAGGCTTACGCGTTGAACACGCTGCTTTATGGGAGTCGTGGGCAACTTACAACCGTCATGAGTGATGCCTCAGCGCCTTCCACATGCACTGTGTCAGGAGGATTCTGGGTATCACATGGCAGGACAGAAGTCAAAACAAAGATATGCTCTTCTAAACCCACATTCCTAGAATATTTGCACTCCTGTCTCAACGACTTCTACGCTGGTTTGGTCACGTCCACAGAATGGTAGATGGCAGGATTCCCAAGAAGTTCTCCACTACAGGCACAAGGCAAATTGGCAGGCCAACTCTGTGCTACAAAGATGTCTGCAACCACGACATGAAGGCTGGCAACATCAACCCTGCAATGTGGGAATCCCTTGCAGATGACCACAGTGCCTAGAGATAGGCAGCCATGTATCCCTAGCAGTGACCAGAGGAGAAATGACCACTGGAGGGAGTAGAGAGACAAAACATCATGGTGTATCTGCAGCAATAGAACTGGGCACTTTCAACTGCCTCATCTGCAACAAAACATGTCTCTCCCAAATTGGTCTCTACAACCTCAGCAGAGGTACTGCAAACTTCCAACAGCCTGACCTCACCTGCAAAGGCACACTCTTCCACTGTGTCCCAAGACAGATGAATGCCAACAATGCCATGTAAATAAATAAAACTTATTACATGAATATGGGAGGTCTGGGACAATGGATTCAAAAACTGAAGTATTTTACCATTTCATAAGATGGCTGTCTGTCCAGTATAAGGCAATCAGCAAGCTATCAGGTCACTTAATAGACACCAGACAAGCCACACTCTCAAATTTATGTTGTAGATCACCTCTTTCTGTGACCTGGTTATGATGCTTATAGGTGGTCTTTGGGCTAGGGGTTGGGCAATTTCTAAAGTCTTAAAACAGAGCTTTCCAAATTGTGTGTCGTGACATGTTAGTGTGCCGGCTGCAGGGTGTGTGTCATGCAAACACTGAGTAAAACTGAATTACACACACATACATAGCTTTATTGTGGTCCACAGACCTAAAATACACAGTACAGTAATGGTATATATCAAGTTATTATTGAGGTATAAAAGCGGCCTTGCTAGCCAGAGGGGCTTTACCCCGTACATACTTTACTGATTCTTACTGCCTCCCAGAACTCCTGTGTCGCGAAATGGTGCATGACTCAAAAGTGTGTCACCGACGGGGAAAGTTTGGAAAGTTCTGCTTTTAAAGTTCTCACACACCTTTGTTGTGAGTCCGCGGGGGGGGGGGGTCTCTGTTAAACAAAAGCTCTACTCCGTCTCCTGTGACCCATCATGGACTTGGGGTCCTAAGAGGCAACCCTAAATGTTTCCGATAGAACACTCAAGCGGCGCATAAATTCCACGAGATAAATAAACGAGCAGGTTGCGGCGGAGCCCTCACAGGCGCCGCGGAGGGGCGCGGACGAGCGAGCGAGGCAGGCAGCCCGTCGCGGGGGCGACGCGGGCGCTTCCCCGCCTCCCGCCGCGGCTTCTCCTGCCGCCGCCGCCGCCGCGGCCTGGGCTCCCTCAGGCGCCGCCTCCCTTTCTGGAAACTTCTCCGCCTCCTCCGCTCGGCCCGCCCGTCCGAGGGGGCGCTCGAGAGGTGAGCGCGGGCCCGGCTGCCGAGCGGAGAGGCGAGAGGAAGCAGGCCCAGCGCCTCGACAGAGGAGGAGGAGCCCCGCCGCCGCCGCCGCCGTTGCCGCCAAGCGCCGCCTGGCGAGCCCCGCTGCTGCTCCGGCCGGATCGCCGAGGGAGAGAAGCGGCCCGTGCTTGCCCGCCAGGGAGAAGCCGCGGAAGCCGCCATGACCGCCGAGGAGGGCAAGGCCGAGGCGATGAGCGCCGCGCCGCCTCAGGAGGGAGAAGCGGCGGCCGTGGACGTCACCCCCGGCCGCGACGGCGGAGTCCTCAAGGTAAGCGGCCCGAGCTCGCGCCCGAGGCCTGCGGCGGGGGAAGCCTGACAACAGCCCCGCGGAGTAGGACAGCCGCGGTGAGGCCTCCCGCCGCCCCGCACGTGAGAGCGGGAGAGGCCTTGGAAGCACGCGCGCCGCCCCCGCTCGCCCGGAAGGATCCCGGGAGGCGAGGCCCAGGGAATTCCCGGGAAGGTGCGCCCTGAGTGTAGCAGAAGGTGGTCTGGAAGGTGCCCGAGGCATGCGGAGGAGGGAGACGCTGTTCAGTTTGCTCCCGGGAGGCTTCAAATCCATTTCAGTGTTTAGGCTCAAGAACTTGCGGAGTAGTAGCAGCAGAGTGCCTCTGAGCATGTGCAGAATGCCCTTCTCGCCCCCGATTTGTATCCCAGCAACTTTTCCTGGTCTGCGCTTTTAACAACATGAGAATGAGGGTACGATGTGCGTCTCCCCCGTCCTACACAGTCACTTCCCTCCCCAAATTTCTGTATTGCCAAGATAGCTGTTCTTACCTGTCACTAAGTGGCCACCCTACTAGATACTGTTGATTTTATTCACCCTACATGTATATTCCCCAAGTGATAGATGGATAGATATCTAATCAATCTCTTGGGGCAGCTTACAACAAATTGAAATCACAGTATTACCCTGAAACAAAAACATTATGCAGTAAAATACAATGCAGGATAAGGAGCTGTAACAGATAAAAACCAACTCAGTAAGCAGCCTTGGCAAGATAATGCGCCTAGGGAGCAGCCTCACAGGAGCTTGGTGTTTATTTTTTCCTGGAATGCATGGATCACTTCAGACCACTGAGTGTGTATGGATGGATGAGGGGGTAGTGACACCTAAATTAAGACATGACTTGCAAAGGAATGAAGTGCATATTGATGAGGGTTGGTATAATTGCTTCTCTTGGTGGTACCTTATGTTTCTTTAACATCCACTTAACTGTGTGTTGCACACAGGTAGGCCCTGCCATGACCAACTGCAAGTTTTCTACAACACTACTTTCCGGAGGGGTAGTCAGTTACCAGATCACATCATGCACAAGAGGCTTGATTCTTCTCAGTGGTTACATATCGGCTTCTGTGTTAGAATAAAATAGTTCAGACCACAGAGAAGCCTTTTCTTTGCTGTGCAGAATACAGTCCCTTGTGAGCAGGCAGGAGAGTTGCATACGCCTCAGGTTGCTGAACCACTCGGGGTGGTAGCAAAGGAACGTTGTGTTTTGCTTTAGCTTTTATTTAAACTTATATTTTATAGGTTCCTTAAAATTAGTAGAAATCAAAAAACAAAACGCGGACGGACGATTGATGTATTTCTGTTTCCAATTATTGCTTGCAAATTAAACAAGCAAAGTATTTGCAATCTGTTGTAAGCCGCTCTGTGATCTTCAGATGCAGGGCAGTAAAGAAATATCATTATCTTTATTGTAAGAAGCTGTTTATATTACTGTTCTTTAGATAGAAATTGAAGTTGACTCACCCAAAAGTTACAGAGGTTGGGATTTGATCTAGTTCAGATCCAAGTCTGATTTCTTCATCAGTGTGCCTTTTGTAGTGATATTATGACACCTGACAAGTATGAACCTTTGTGAATCACAATTTGAAAATGAAACTAAAAGTTAACCACTGCAGTCTTTTGTGGAACGACATAAACTAAGACGCACGTGCCTTAAACTGAAATTATATTCCTTAAAACTGCAGACATCAAAATAAGCCCAGAGCTTGAAAGGCATCCAACAGTTTCTAGGGAATATGGACTGTGCCTTTTTTATTGCAGTTGTTTTAGATTAGTGTGTTAAAGGGCAGCACCAGGAACTGGGGTCAGAAACAGACTAGCAGCCAGTGAAGAGTTGCACAGCCACTTTCTGCACTAGCTGCAGTTTCTGATCTGTCTTCAAGGATAGCTCCATCATACAGTGCATTTCAGTACAGTGGTACCTCGGGTTACAAATACCTCGGGTTACAAACACTTCGGGTTACAGACTCCACTAACCCGGAAGTAGTACCTCGGGTTAAGAACTTTGTCCCAGGATGATTTCAGAAATCACGTGGCAGCGGGAGGCCGCATTAGCTCAAGTGGTACCTCAGGTTAAGAATGGTTTCAGGTTAAGAATGGACCTCTGGAACTAATTAAGTTCGTAACCAGAGGTACCACTGTAGTCTTAACTCAGAAGTTGCCTGAGCATTGATAACTGTTTGGTCACTCTATCCCTTGATTAAAAGTCACTTTTTTCTGAAAACTGACCAACTCAAGTCAATTGATGAGTCACAGAGACATGAACAGGTAAGAAGGGGCAAGAGAGAAGCTACAAATTAAGGAACAATAGCTCTGAAAAGCCTCTAGCACCAGTCTTCATTATGTAGGCTGGTGCCACAATTGTGTTTTAAGACAAAAATTGCCAAAAATGTTTTTAAAAGGATGGGAAAGTAACATGGGAATCACCAGGATATAACACATTGCTGATGTCATCAGAATTTCCTGTAAAAACATAATGATTAAAGGATGTTATTTCAAATTCAATAGCATGGAAGCAATCTTATTTTGCAAAATTAAATTCTGGATTTCTAAGGATTATACTCCCCAAAAGGGGGTTAGGGAGAAAAAAGTCAAAAAAGGCCTAGGATTTTGTTTTGTGACAACAGAACAGATCAAATGGTAAAGGAATGGGCTGCTATACGGAATCATAGGAGTTGGAAGGGATCCTAAGGGTCATCTAGTCCATCCCCCGCAATGCAAGAATCTCAAAGCATCCATGACAGCGGGCCATCCAACCCTCTGTTTAAAAAACCTCCCAAGGAATAAGATTCGTTCCAGAGGTCCGTTCTTAACCTGAAACTGTTCTTAACCTGAAGCACCACTTTAGCTAATGGGGCCTCCTGGTGCCGCCAGAGCACGATTTCTGTTCTCATCCTGCAGCAAAGTTCTTAACCTGAAGCACTACTTCTGGGTTAGCAGAGTCTGTAACCTGAAGCGTATGTAACCTGAAGCGTATGTAACCTGAGGTACCACTGTAGTGTCCCACTGCCATTGTTGGTTCCACCAATTGCAGCAAACGCCCCTCCGTAGACCCCATAACCATCAAAATGTAGCAGATCCCACCTCTCTGTGTAACACCATGCTCAAAATCCTCCACGGGCTATCTAAGGTAAAATTTTGAGACTCAGGCAGAAGTTGAACAAATAAGAAAGATTTGTTTTACAGATCAAAGTTGGCAGAACAAATGATGTGTCAGGAAATGATTAACTTAATAATTATGCCAAATATCGTGGATGCTACAGGGTTCTAAACAAAGTAGTAAATGCACAGCTTTTAAACTTCAGTTGCTTATTTTCAGTTACTACTCTTCAGTTAGGTGTTACAGGTTTCTAGACTAGAAAGTAAATGTTCAACTTATTTCTAGTTAGGTTACTTCAATTTCTTAAAACGTAATGGCATAGGTGTTAAATGCTTTTGTTCTTAAACAAGGTCAGTTTCTGTCAGTTTCCCAACTTTCTACCAATCACACTCCTGAGCTACTTCTGGCAGTATAACAAACTCAGGGGGTCACCACACCCCTCTTAACTTCTCCTTCTAGAATACCTCTCCCCTCCTGACTGAAACGAGACTCCCTGTATGGCAATACAGTGGTACCTTGGTTCTCAAACTTAATCCGTTCTGGAAGCCCATTCCAAAACCAAGGCACACTTTCCCATAGAAAGTAATGCAAAATGGATTAATCTCTTCCAGACTTTTAAAGGCAACCCCTAAAACAGCAATTTAACATGAATTTTACTATCTAACGAGACCATTGATTCATAAAATGAAAGCAATAAACAATGTACTATAAAATAAATAATGCAGTATTGTAGATGATAAAAATTTAATTTAATTTTTTTTCTTACCTGCACTGTTTGGATTGGGGGGGGGGGCTTTTATCTATTTCAGCAGTCACACAATCAATCAATCAGTAGCTGAACTGGGTTCCACACAGTCACAAAATCAAATTAACCAAAAAAAGCCTCAAAAACAAAAACACCAAAAAAAAATAATAGCAAAAACAAAAGCACCAAACTTAATCTGTTCCGGAAGTCCATTTGACTTCCGAAATGTTCAAAAAACAAGACACAGCTTCTGTTTGGTGCAGGTGCCCAGGAAACAATAGCCGACAAATTGGACATTTGGCTTCTGAAAAGCATTCGAAAACCGGAACACTTACTTCTGGGTTTTCAGTGTTTGGGAACCAAGGTTTTTGAATGCCAAGGCATTTGAGAACCAAGGTCTTTTTTCCACTTTCAGTTTCTCGAGTTGTTTAGTGGCAGGGAACAACAAAAAAAGGATATCAGAATATAGGAATATATTCTGATATATTCCATACATCCCTCCTATATAAGGATATAGGAATTCCTTTCCTACTGTCCATTGTGATCTTTATTGTTTTTTTCCACAACAGACGGTGGTACTCACAGATTTTCAAATTATAGATTTTCCCCAGCAGATGGAGGGGGCTGGTCTCCCATTGCAGTTTCCTGTCCCTAACATATTTTGAAGGGTTTTAAAAAGAGAGGGTGCAGTTCTTTTCTTTCTTATAAGGTGATTATGTGGTGTTTGGGCATGAGGGCATTCGCCTCGACTTGACAGCTCATTATAACTTTTATGCAAACTGCGGGGCATAGACAGCAGAAAAATGGCTTTGATCCAAGCGTCTTGAGGTTACCGTATTTTTCGCACTATAGGACGCACTTTTTCCCCTCCAAAAATGAAGGGGAAATGTGTGTGCGTCCTATGGTGCGAATGCAGGCTTTTGCTGAAGCCTGGAGAGCGAGAGGGGTCCGTGCGCACCGACCCCTCTCGCTCTCCAGGCTTCAGGAAGCTATCCCAAGTCTTGCAAGCCCGGCGGGATGTCCCGCGGGCTCGCAAGGCTTGCGGGCAGCAGCCTGCACCCAAAAGCTGGGGACAGCGGGGAGGCGCAGAGCCGCCACCCCGCTATTCCCCGACCTGGATCTGGAGGCTGGCGGGGGGGAGAAGCAAGCCTGCTTCTCCCCCCCCCACCATCCCCACAACACTCCAGATTCAGGTCGGGGAATAGCGGATGGGGAAGCGCCGCCATCCCGCTGTTCTCCCGACCTGATCTGGAGGTTCGTGGGATGGTGGGGGGGAGAAGCAGGCTTTGCTGCTCCCACCCCAGCCTCCAGATCAGGTCGGGGAATAGCGGGATGGCGGCGCTATCGCCCATCCCCCTATCCCCCGAGCTTGTGGGGTGGGGGGGAGAAGCAGGCTTGCTTCTCCCCCCGCCAGGCCACCAGATCAGGTCGGAATAGCGGGGTGGCGGCGCTCCGCCATCCCGCCTATTCCCCGACCTGAATCTGGAGGCTGGGGTGGGAGAAGGCAAGCCTGCTTCTCCCCCCCAAGCCCCACAACCTCCAGATCAGGGTCGGGAATAGCGAGATGGCGGCGCTCCGCCATCCCGCTATTCCCCGACCTGAACTGGAGGCTGGGGGCGGGAGAAGCAAGCCTGCTTCTCTCCCCCCCCCCAGCCCCACAACCTCCAGATCAGGTCGCGGAATAGCGGGATGGCGGTGCTCCGCCATCCCGCTATTCCCCGACCTGATCTGGAGGCTGGGGGTGGGAGAAGCAAGCTTGCTTCTCCCCCCCACCAGCCCCACAACCTCCAGGCTTCAGGAGAGCCCCACCGCCAGCCCCACAAGCTCGGGGGACAGCGGGAGAGGCGCAGCGCGCCTTTCCCGCTGACCCCCGACTTGGCTAGAAGGCTGGCGGGGGGAGAAGCCTGCTCCTCCCCGTCGCCAGCCCCGCAAACTCGGGGACAGCGGGAGAGGCGCAGCGCGCCTTTGCCGCTGTCCCCCGACTTGTCTAGAAGGCTGGTGGGGGGAGAAGCCTGCTCCTCCCCGTCGCCAGCCCCGCAAACTCGGGGGACAGCGGGAGAGGCGCAGCGCGCCTTTGCCGCTGTCCCCCGACTTGTCTAGAAGGCTGGCGGGGGGAGAAGCCTGCTCCTCCCCGTCGCCAGCCCCGCAAACTCGGGGGACAGCGGGAGAGGCGCAGCGCGCCTTTCCCGCTGTCCCCCGACTTGGTTAGAAGGCTGGCCCAGCCCCGCAAACTCGGGGGACAGCGGGAGAGGCGCAGCGCGCCATCCCGCTGTCTCCCGACATGGTTTGGAGGCTGGCGGAAGGCTTCCTCCTCCCCCAGCCCCGCAAGCTCCCAGAGCGATGCCAAAGCTGCGCGCAGCTTCGGCATGGCTCTGGGTCCCGTTCTGGGGGAGGGGGAAGCTCGGGCTTCCCCGCCCCAGCCCCGCGCCTGGCGGGGGGGGGAATAAATTTTTTTGGCCTTTATTTCGCCCCCCCAAATCTAGGTGCGTCCTATGGACCGGTGCGTCTAATAGTCCGAAAAATACGGTAACTTCCAGATCAGTCTTATCTCCAGATTGATTTAAGAGCCAGGCTATTTGACTATTAGCAATCACCATGTGATTATCTTCTGTGAGTCGGAGCTAGTGGAACAATTTCCAAACCCCTATGCCTCTCTCCCAGAAGCCAGTGTCCCTTTTTGATGGACACTTTTCCCCATTTTGGGAGATTGGTAAGTTCTGGATGGAGTTGCACTCCCTCTGAAGGATGCTCCTGGATACATCTTTGTCAACAGAGGCCCAGGTGTCCTCTGGGGCTAGGAAGGCCTTTTACCGGCCTCATCTGGTTTGACAGCTAGCGCCATTCCTGGGCGTGAATAGCCTGGCCATTGTTGTCCATGCTTTGGCTGGCTATAAAAGGTAAAGGGACCCCTGACAGTTAAGTCCAGTCACAAACAACTCTGGGGTTGCAGCGCTCATCTCACTTTACTGGCCGAGGGGAGCCGACGTTTGTCCACAGTTTTTCCAGGTCATGTGGCCAGCATGACTAAGCCGCTTCTGGCAAAACCAGAGCAACACACAGAAACACTATTTTAGCTTCCCGCCAGAGCGGTACCTATTTATCTACAGTGGTACCTCGGGTTAAGAATTTAATTCATTCTGGAGGTCCATTCTTAACCTGAAACTGTTCTTAACCTGAGGTACCACTTTAGCTAATGGTGCCTCCCACAGCTGCTGCTGCTGCACCGCCACCGCGTGATTTCTGTTCTCATCCTGAAGCAAAGTTCTTAACCCGAGGTACTATTTCTGGGTTAGCGGAGTCTGTAACCTGAAGCTTCTGTAACCCAAGGTACCACTGTACTTGCACTTTGACGTGCTTTCGAACTGCTGGGTTGGCAGGAGCTGGAACCAAGCAAGGGGAGCTCACCCCGTCGCAGGGATTCAAACCGCCGACCTTCTGATTGGCAAGCCCAAGAGGCTCAGTGGTTTGGACCACAGCGCCACCCGCGTCCCCCTGGCTGGATATAAATGTGCTGTTATGTGCGGCTGCCCTGGGGTCTGGTTTGGAAGCTCCAGCTGGTGCAGAACGTGGTGGTCAGACGGCTGCTGGGAGCTGCTGGTTGGCAACATGTGACACCATTGTTAAAAGAGCTGCCCTGGCTGCCTATCTGCAACTGAGTCAGGTTCAAGGTTCTTGTATTGATTTATAAAGCCCTTTGACTAATATATATGTCAATCATAATACAGTGGCATACAAATACTTTATAAACAAACAAACAAACCTTTCAAGCAATCAAGTGTATTCTCTGTGGGTTATTTATTCCTTACTATATTTTCTTCGCCGTGAAACAGATGTTTAAAGAGCAGTTGGTTGAGTGAGTCTGAATACCTTAAAACTTCCCAGAAAGCACTACATTTGTAGATACCAGAGTGAATGGCACCTGCTGTTTCCCAAACTTTTACCTGTGTTAATGAATGTGAGCGCAAAAACAGAAGAGGGTAAGAGTTCTGCTTTTATTAACATGGATTGTGGAAACAGAACTTAGTATGCTTAGTATAATTGGAAGACAGGGAATTGGAAGCCCTCCCTATTCCTTTCCAGCCTCTTTTATATCTTTCTTATGGTTCCTTTTTCTTTTTCCTCCTCCTTGTTATACTTACGTTTTGTTCTGTAATTTGAAGTTGCCTATCCCAAGAGGAAGGGCCCTCTGTGAGGGGCAAGGCAAAGAGGATCTCCCAGAGTGAGAGGCTGGGGGAAGAGGGGGAGGCTCCCAGGTGAGAGCTGGGAGGGCTCACTTTTCTGTGTGTGGAATAAGGGTTAAGACTGAATTTTAATAAAGGACTTTGTAAGTTCCTGTTCTTTTTTTCTCCTCCTTTGCTCATCTTTCCCCCCATCTTTTTCTTGTTTAAATTAGTGTGATTTTTATTGTATCTTATGTGGAAAACTTTCAATAAAAATTGATTTTTTAAAAAGAACTTATTCTGTGTTCATTCTAATTGATAAATACTAAATTTAAGGAGCACACTGTAAAAATCCAGCAATTTCAGCTGCTGGCACGTCTTTAGTGCTGAAGCTGGTGGTGACAGAGTGCTCCTTTTGTATTCCTTCTCTATGTGCACACCTGTCAGTCTGGAGAAAAGTCAGTGAAGAATAACTTTTTTTGCAAGGGGAGGGGATAAGTTGCTGTAGAGTTTGTGGAAATCTTCAACTCATATGTCCCAGAACAGCCATGCCCCCCCCCCACAGCCATGAAGCTCACTTGTGGTAGTCAATCTTAGTTTAGCCTACTTTGTAGAGTTTTGCAGAAATTAAATTATGATACCACCATCCCTAGAAAAAATGTACAAGGCACAAACATTGTACTTTTCTCCCATTTACATGAGATCCAGTTCTTAGTTTGACTACACTGACTCTGTATAAAGCAGTCATAGCTGAAGAGTCATGCTAGAGGGCTCTACTTGGACAGATGTCCATTTAACAGCTGTGCTGTTCCAAAAACATTTGTAATTCCTGAATAGTTCAAAGGTGGACTAAACATCACTATAAAACTGAGCTGAAGCTCTGACAGCGGAATGATCTAAGTAGAGAAGGGAGTGTTGCTAGTTTCTTTAATATGGTTTTATGTATTTATCATCACAATTTTCTCATGCAGAAGATCTGATCACAAAATCTCATTTTATAGTGAGGGTTTGTGAACTGAAGCCTAGTAACTTAGAGATGCCGTTAGCTGCAGTCAAGATGTCTTAAATCTTTTAACAGCAGGAAATGGAATTTTGCAGTGTTGATTACATTCAAGAACAGTGAAGTACAACCCTTTAACACTTGTTGAATGAATAAAATGCTGTAAGTGGTAAAACTAGTATCAGATGGCATTGCCAAAGCAATCTGTAAAATCTTTCTTAACAAACTTGGTTTACTTCTTAGGGTAGCATGGCTTCCTAGTAGTTCATATAAATATTGTTTTGTTTCCCCCACTACAGATTATCAAGAAAGAAGGGACAGGGACAGAATCACCCATGATTGGTGATAAAGTGACTGTTCACTATAGTGGGTGGCTTCTAGATGGCACAAAGTTTGACTCAAGTCGGGACAGAAAGGACAAGTTCTCGTTTGACTTCGGCAAAGGTAATGTGTTCTATTCCTTGTACACAATAACATGATCTCTTCAATAGCATTTTAAAAAAATGATGCATTTCATATTCCATATTAAATGATGATCCTCTTCTTAACTTGCAGTGTAAAATGTTCGTTGTCCTACACTTTTGTATAGAATTGTCTTCTCATTATGGGAACAGAATTTAATTGTTATGTGGTTTCATAAATACAGTTGAATAGAAGCCACAATAGCATATGCAGGTTTGCTTTCACAATTGTTGTTTGTCAGGAATGCCACACAGGCTATTTTCACTTGTTGCTCTGTTAAATAGAAATGTATCAAGCTAATACGATGAGTATAAATTGTTAGGCACAACTACAGTTTGCACAAATATAAGTGTAATGAAGTACCGTATTTTTCGCCCTATAGGACGCACTTTTTCCCCTCCAAAAATGAAGGGGAAATCTGGGTGCGTCCTATGGGGCGAATGCAGGCTTTCGCTGAAGCTTGGAGAGCGAGAGGGGTCGGTGCGCACCGACCCCTCTCGCTCTCCAGGCTTCAGAAAGCAGAGCGCCCGGCGCTTCGGGAACACATCCGCAGCCTAGGCAGCCCTTCGGGAGGTCCCGCAGGGATGTCTAGACTGCGGATAGCAGCCTGCCGCCCGGCGGGCTGGGCGTCCTGAAGCAGAGCGCCCCACGCGCCGGACAGACATCCACAGTGTGGGGAGCCCTGCAGGAATTCCCCGCAGGGCTCCCCACGCTGTGGATAGCAGCCTGCCGCCCGGCGGGTAGGGCGCCCTGAAGCAGAGCGCGCCGGGCAGACATTGGCCAGCCCCACAAGCTTGGGGGACAGCAGGGAGGCGCAGCGCCGCCATCCCGCTGTTCCTCGACCTGGTTTGGTTTCCCCGAACCTGCTTTTGGGGGGGAAATAAAGGGGAAATTTTTTCCTTTATTTCCCCCCAAAAAAACTAGGTGCGTCCTATGGGACGGAGCGTCCTATGGGACGAAAAATACGGTATAATATGTACAAAAAGCTTTGGCCAGGGACAGTTTTGAGCATAGAAGTGATGAGGTTCTTAAGGTGAACCCAATTATTTCCCCTCAGCAGAGTTCCATTTTTTATGTTTAATGCTTCAAATATATATCTGCATCTCTGCAGAGGCAAAATCATCTTGAATGGAGGGTGGTTATTTGGAGCAGGAAAAACAGCTTTCTGGGACAGAGTTAAGTACCTATTCTACCCTGCTGCCATGGATGAGGTTCCATTGATGGAGAAAGGAAGTATCAGCCATACCTCTAGAGATCTTTGGGAGAAAGTCCTGTTTCCAGAGAGAAGAAGGTTCTGAAGTCCATATTCTGTTCTAGTCTCTATTACTGTGACAGCAGAACTGAGCTTACAATTTTTGTTGTTTTAAATTACCTGCCACAATTATTGTTCTCTTAAAGCAGGGTTTCCAAAACTTGGGTCTCCTACTGTTTTTGGACTACAATTCCCATCATCCCTAGCTAGTAGAAACAATGATCAGGGATCAGCTTTCCAAAAACAGCTGGAGTTCCAAATTTGAGAAACCCTGTTTTAAAGTATTCCAGTACTTTTAGTCATAATTTGTGAACTTCCTTTTCACTTTTTTCTTTTTCAACATTCCTAATATGGATAGACAAGTGTCAGAGAGGTGTCCTGATTCTTTAGTTCAGTTGGAGTTTGTGACCTGCAATGTCTTTGCTTTTTGCTAGCAGAGAGAATGTGGATAAATGACTACTGATGACAGCAGCTTCTTACAGGTGCTTGCTTTTTAGTAATGTGGCCAAATTCTTCTTTTTAGGTGAAGTCATCAAAGCTTGGGACATCACTGTGGGAACTATGAAACTTGGAGAACTTTGTCAAATAACTTGCAAACCAGAATATGCCTATGGCTCTGCTGGCAGCCCCCCTAAGATACCTCCCAATGCCACACTGATTTTTGAGGTAAGCCAGGGAGGCTGTTCTTTCATCTGTAGCAGAAGCAGGAGAACTGCTGTCCCCAGCAGCTGTACATGTTTGCCAAGGCTAAAAGCTGAACAGCTGGTGCCAAAGGCAGCAGAATCAGTGAGTCCCTGTAGATATGGGACTTGGTTAGCGAAAACAGAACAATATTTGAAGAGTACAGGCCCTGTATGATTACCTTTGTTGTAAGAAATGAAATAACAGATGTATTCATTCAAGTTTGCTGCTGTAAGTATAAAACCAAATTCAGAAATAAAACAGAAAAGTTGACCAAGTGATAGAGTAAAAGATCTCAATGTAATTAAAACATAGAATCTTAGAGTCTTCAAAATGTCTTTCCAGTAAAAATGGTTTAGTCAGCCATACAAACTGCAAGAGAAACGGCTGAAAAGAGAGTTCAGTTTGAGGGCGCTGCCTTTTGCCTTCCTGCACCTCCATGTGAAGCAGAACTGATGGTCTTAGCATGTGGTAATGGAAAGGGACTCAATTGGGAAGAGGCATTCTCCTAGGTACCCATTCCAATATTGCATTAGCTGAATACTACTTTCATCGTTCTGGTCAGTGGACTGGCTTTTCAAGAATTCATTGGTTTTTTTCCTTGTTCATTTTTATTGTAACTTCATTTGGTATCATACCTGTTCAAATTACAGTATCTGTTTCAATTCCCCACCCCCACCCTGCTTTTAAAAGAGGGTTACTTAAATCAATAATAATAATAATAATAATAATAATAATAATAATAATAATAATAATAATAAAAAATAATGCCTCTTCAGATAATGCTACTTTTCCTCCTACTTTTCTGTGATAAAGTCAACCCTTCAGAATTTCACCATGGGCTAAATCTGAATTTGCATTATTTTGTTCATTCCTCTAGATAGAGCTGTTTGAGTTCAAGGGCAAAGACCTCACAGATGATGAAGATGGTGGAATTATCCGAAGAATTCGTAAGAAGGGAGAAGGCTACTCCAAACCCAACGAGGGAGCTATGGTGGAGAGTAAGTAGCAGTAAAAAGATGATGGATGGGGATGTTGAGGCAGGTCCCATAACAGACACTTTTTATGCATTTGGGAGCATGAATAAGTTTCTAAGTGCATTAACTCCTTAAACCAAAAGTTTTTTTGTTCTGTTATCAAAGAACTTCCTTCAAAAAAAGAAAAGAAAATGGCATTATGTTAAAATTAGTATCTGAAGTCCTGCTCTCCTGGTCTCGGCTAACAGGCATCAGAGATGAGCCCTTTTCTATGGTGACCCTGCATTGGAAGACTGTTCCCAGGAAAAGATCTTTCTTTGTTGGCTTTGGCAGAATGGGGAACATGTGGCCCTCCAAAGGTTCCCCCCCCCACTACCATCAGTCCCGGCTAGCATAGCTGATGGTTAGGGATTACAGAAATTGTATATGGAGACATTTTTGTTCCAGTCCATGTTTGGGTAATTTTATGGTGCTGAGTTTTTATAATTGTTCGGCTTTTATTATTTTTAATGTTCTATTGCTAACTGCTTTAATATTCTGGAATTTTAGTGTACCATTACTTTTTGTTGACTGTGTTGCAAGCCATCCTAAAAGGCATGGTTTGGCTGTATTAAGTAACTATACCCCTGTCTCCTCTCATACCGTTCTAGATAATCATGCTTAGTATTGATATAGTGCTTTAAACTGCTGAGAGAGGATAATATATATAATCCCAGTAATCCCGTCTAAACATGCCATTTTTTGTATCAGTTGAGGTGGAAGGTCGGCATGGAGACAGACTATTTGACAAACGGGAGCTGCGGTTTGAAGTAGGAGAGGGAGAAAACTATGACCTTCCTCCTGGCGTGGACAAAGCACTTCAGAAAATGGATAAGTTGGAAGAGTCCGTGGTGTATCTCAAGCCCAGGTATATACGCTTTGCTTTGAAGCAGTCCTGACACACCACTTTCTTGGGTGCATGAGGCACACCCTATTGTTGCCACTGCAAATAGACTTTGGGGATTGGGTATATCTGTAGACAGTCTTATGAGGTCCCTTATTTAGAGGTGGGTGATGTGATGCCTTTCAAAGGAGGAAAAACAAGCAGATCTGGATCTTAGAAGCGTCTCATTTCTTTCACAGCTATGGTTTTGGAAGTGCTGGGAAACCAAAATTTCAGATCCCTCCAGATGCAGAGCTACAGTATGAAATCAAACTTAAAAGTTTTGAAAAGGTAAGCAAAGGAGGGGTTTCTTCTAATGAAAAGGAGATAGAAAGAGGGTTCACGTTCATCCATCCATGACAGGATGTGTGTGGCGAAAGAAATAGAAATGTACTACAATAACTTGCATAAAATGAAGCTACAATATACTTCCCCAACTTTTATTATTTTTATTGATTTAAACTTGTTTGTTCCATGTGATATTACTATTGTTTTTTGTTGTAATATTGTATCTGGAGCAGGTTAGGATGGGGGTGGTTTTAAAAATCCGCTGCTACAACCTTTGGAATCCCTGGTAAAGAGTGGGAATGGCCTCATCCTGTTTGGGGGGTGGGTTTTTGATATCGCGAGCTATGCACATTGTTCCACAATGGAAAGCCACAGCACATCAAAAGGCTTCGTGGAGAGCAGCATTGAAAGGGAAGGCCAGAAGCTCAATAGCTGGTGACAGCTTTTCAGCTTTTGTAGTCAGTCAGGGATGTTTCCCTCACTCTCTCCCACAGTGTGAGATTTCAGTTGCAAACTCTGGGGCAGGAAATTTCCACTTGGTTGCAAAGGGGGCGCTCTTGGGTTGCAAAATGCAACTGGCACCCAGTTAGTTTTGAACACTGGTTTGACTTCACCCCCAGAGGCACACTCCGTTGTCTTTCGAGACAGATGGATGCCAAAAACAATTATGTTTAATGAATGTATAAAGTTTTCTTTAAAAAAATTAATAAATCAAGGTTGCTCTTAATCCCATCTTCCTTTCTGATTGATACCTGAATGCTCTAGAGGAATTTCCAGCTAATACTGCTGGTTCCCTGCCAGTCTTAGTCTCACTGTGGAATGGTGGTGTCATGATTCAGTGACGAGGATAAACGAATCAGAAGTGTTAGGGTTAATGTCTGAGGAACTGGAGCAGAGGTCTGTTGAACCTAGGAGGCAGGAGGCTGCTGAACCCGTTCCCTCACACCAAAGCCAGGACCCTCACAAACCCCTTTCCTTGGTCTTCATAAACCAAGTTTCTCCCACACTTACCTCGCCAGCCCAACAGCACAGGGAATGTACCTTAGTAGGCAGCCAGTGAGTAAAGGAGACGCATCACTTTTCAAGCCAGAGCCATGTCTGCTCTCCCCAGGTCACACCAACATGAACCCTGTTATGCATCCTACTAACTGTTTTCACCAGGGTGAAGTATGTCATTAAACTGTGATCATGCCTCTTGCATGCCTGCATTGGAGAATGGAAGGGTGTGTTGGGGGGGGGGTTGCTATTGTGTGGCTGGCAGGTATTCTGTACAAAAGACAAGAGTCACATTTCAGCATTTGTCTAAAAACTGGAAGAAAGGGAGATTGGTAGATCTCCCTGGGAAAGGAATTCTACAACTGCCTTATCTATCACACATTAAATTAAATTAAATTATATGATATAGCAGTTGTCAAATTTAGGCTGCAATCCTGTAGTTGTATACCTTGGAGCAAGTGCTATTGAACTCAGTAGGACTTCTGAGTAAACATGGATGCAATTGCACTGTTAAGTAATAAATAATATATCCTTGAAATATTATCATCTCACATTTCAAATCAGTAGTTTTTAGAAATGCTAAATTTCTGCTGTTTGCAGCATTGGCATACGAGACGTACAGACATAGCTCAAGAGATGTACTATTCCTCTGAATGTGGTGACCAGGTTACCCTTGCTTTCTGTTTCCATTTTCTTGTGCCACATCGTCAGTGTGTGGTTTATGGCCAGCAGTAGAGGCAGTAAACTGACATGTGTATCTGCTTGCCTGGTGTCTCTCCACTTTACGCTTCTATACAGTTACATGCCATTCTTCCATAGATGCCTTGTCTTCAAAAAAGCACCCCGTTGATTGGTTTCTTTTTTGCCTGGACAGGCTAAGGAGTCGTGGGAGATGAACACCAATGAAAAGCTGGAACAAGGGTCCATTGCAAAGGAAAAGGGCACTCAGTATTTCAAAGTGAGTGTAATAGGGGATTTCAAACACCCCTGGCAGATACTGAAGTAATGTTGAGTGTGCCATATCTTTTGATTTGCCTTCCTCTGAAATTGTGGCATGGGTGTATGATTGGAATTTGGATTATTGATGACTAAAAGCACTGTATGTTGGAGTGGAAGGAAACTGTTTCCAATGCTGAAACTTGCTTATAGGTACCATAGTCATAAAAGTGAAGCCCATAGTTTCACTAGCTCATTCTAATGCCCCAAAATCTACCTGAGTGTGATGTACAGCAAAGTTTTCAAAGCTTTATTAATCTATATTGTACTCTGCCTACGGCCAGAGCCATCTTACCCATAGGTGCTAGGGGTGCCGGGCCCTCAGGGGCGCTAGGCCAAGAGTCCGGGGCCCGAGAGTTGAGTCTGGGGAAGAACCCCCCCCCATTGGTCAGAGTACTGTGGCGGGCTCTGCTGTTGCAGGTGGCTCTACACCACGAGTTTGGGGGTGACCGAGCCAGCTCCGCCCTCTTGCGTGACTGGGGGGCGGGGCGGCGCCAGGCAGATCTTTGCACCCTGGCACCACATATGCTTAAGACAGCCCTGCCTACAGCAGTGAAATTTCTGGCACCTGTTGGATAGCCTGAGATGATAGCATAGAATATAAATACTACAACTTTGAAAGGAATAAAGCTGTCAACATTTGTACTCCATTGAGAGAAGGCAGTTTAACTCCTGTGCCCCTACAGCAGAAGGCAGGGCTTAAAATCTTTGATATTAAGAGACAAGGAATGGTCCTCTCCCACTCAGCTAATTCTTGCCTTCTAGCACCCAAGAGGCTTTTGTGGCCTTATAGGCCATATACTCCCTCCGCTGTCTTTTTTAACTAGAGGCCACTCTAGATAGATACAAGACCCTCATTCAACATGGATAGCAAGGATTTTCCCATGGTACTAGGAGTGATACAGTTAGTTGTCCTAGGGGGGCATCCAGCCAGATGGGATGGCAGCCCAAGTGGCTGGATCTTCATTTTTATAAGGTGGGAGAAGACCAGGATCAGAACAGGGAGCCCCTTTAATGGGCCATGAGTGTTCTGTTTCCTCATGTTCTCTGACCCCATGAAAGCATATTGAATCACCCTAGGTGAATCTAGAGGGTGCTTGTGATCTTATTCAGAGTCGGGCATCAAGGGTGGGAGATCCCACAAAGCAGTATGAGAGAGATTCCCTTGAATTCTCTTCTTACAGCCTGTAAATTCCTACTGGCTTCAGGGCAGTCTGAAACAGTGTGAATTGGTCTAAGCATTGGCACTCCTGGCAAACTCACAGCTATCCAGCAAGAATGTAAAAGATGCATGTACTGACAGAGGCCATCCCGGTAGGGGAGCCACTACTAAACAATACTATCCCATCTGTTTTTGTTTTTTTAAAAACAGTGTTTTAATTCATTGTTGCAAAGATATTTTGGAGAGCAATGATAGCCCTTTCCCTTACACCCCTATGCTGTGTGTCAGGGACATATTCACTTTGGTCTTCCTGTGCCAGAAGTGTGTCATTTAAGGCCCCGAACATTGTCAACAAAGCTGAACAGTTGAGGAACATACACTACTCTGCTTCTGTGGCAATTATTTTTTTAGTTGGTCCATGCAACCAAGTGTTAAGCAATTGGGAGTCAGAAATCCTTGCTGACTTACTGCAAATCATCCAGAGATCTACTAGTAAATCCCAATGTACCTTTTATCTACCCTGATCTACACTGTAAATTGGATTAGCGTTAAATGCCACTCTGTCCATTATGCAATGAGAAACTAAGGAGTCAAGGAATATATCATAATTGCCATGAGTGCTAGGGAAGAGGTGGGTGCAACAAGAGATAGATATGCAATATGTTGAGCTGAGCTACTCATAGCAGGGATGGAAAAAATGTGTCCTTCCAAATATTGGATTCCAACCTCTGTCAGCCCAAGTCGGCAGAGCCAGTTGTCAGAGATGATGAGCGTGATAGTCTAGCTTTCCTGAGACACCTGGTTAATGCTTCCTTTCCACAATCATAAAAAGGTAAAGGTACCCCTGCCCGTACGGGCCAGTCTTGACAGACTCTAGGGTTGTGCGCCCATCTCACTCAAGAGGCCGGGGGCCAGCGCTGTCCGGAGACACTTCCGGGTCACGTGGCCAGTGTGACATCGCTGCTCTGGCGAGCCAGAGCCACACACGGAAACGCCGTTTACCTTCCCGCTAGTAAGCGGTCCCTATTTATCTACTTGCACCCGAGGGTGCTTTTGAACTGCTAGGTTGGCAGGCGCTGGGACCGAACAACAGGAGCGCACCCTGCCGCAGGGATTCAAACCGCCGACCTTTCGATCGGCAAGCCCTAGGCGCTGAGGCTTTTACCCACAGCGCCACCCGCGTCCCATGAGTTGAGGTAGAATTCACGTTCTGCCCAACTAACCATGCACGGCTACCTGCAACTAAAGCTACATTAGAATTTTTGCCCTATTCTAGCTTCAGCTGAACATAATGGTGACATTATGTCAGCCTGCCTGCCTGCTAGGGATCTGCTGGGTAGGGAATATGGCCCTCTAATCCATTTGAGTCTGATGCCATACTGATTGCATTCCAGGAGGGAAAATACAAACGGGCAGCATCACAATACAAGAAGATAGTGTCATGGCTGGAACATGAAACCGGACTCTCAGATGCAGAGGAAGCAAAGGCCGAGAGCTTGAGACTTGCTGCCCATCTGAACCTGGCCATGTGCCATCTGAAGCTGAAGGAGTATTCCCAGGCCTTGGAGAACTGCAACAAAGTAAGCAGCACTTTAGATATCCAGGAATGCAGGCAGGAGTGTCAGCCAGTAATAACAAGCTTCCCGGGCCGTGCTGTGATTGAAGATGTGCAAAGGGTACCCAAATGGTACCCTTTATTGGACTGGTGATATAGTGTGTATGTGGGTTTAAAATAATTAAATCCTTTTATTTGTGAAGCCGTTTTCAGACCAGTTGGTTTTCCAGCTAGCACAGCAGCTGCTGCACTCCTGTGACATGAAAAACCGTATCTCCTTTCTCTTCTCTTATTGTATCCCCAGTATGTGCAAATACCTCCCTGCTGATATAGAAGAGGATAAACAAACTAGTGTCATATGTGAACAGCTTTCCAAAGCTTGATTGAGCCCCTAAAACTGCCCTAACCCCACTAGTTACAGAATGGATGCCCAGGCAGATTGTGTGCTGTCTGCCTCAGAACACCCTTCCCCCAACATATTCCCACTCCCCAACTGCTGTAAAACTAAATGAAGGGGAGGCGGGAAGCTAAGAACAGCCTTTGTAATCTGGGCATTTGTGTGGGGAAATGGCTGAAAGTCGCTCAGTGAATACCTTTCCAACCCGACCTATTTTGAGTGGGAAAGGGTGGTGAGCTGCAAAACAGTCAGAAATGGAAAGTTAAGCAGCCACTTTCTCCCCCAAACTCTTGTTTTGGCTGTTCAATTCTCGACACCCAAAAGCGGCTTTTAAAGCTGCTTTTGCTTTAAAATTGTTTGGGAGAAGATGCTTGCAACTGCACCGTACCCAGTTTAGGCCCTTGCCTCCCATTAGCCACTGATAAACCACTTCTCCGTGAATTTGACTAATCTTTTTTACCTTGAATCTATCTAAGCTATTGGCCATCACACCTTGTGAGTGAGTTGTGAATAGCGTAGATGGAGTCAAATAATGAGAAGGCAGATTGACAGCTGAGAGGTCTATCCACCCATAGTAACTATAATGGCAGAACCTATACTTTGGAAGACCAAGGAGCAAATAGAAGCAGCAGGGAAAGAGATTCATGCTGATCATCTGGCTGGTCACTGCTGAGAACAGTATGCTAAAATAGCCTCATGCAGCAGAGAAGTTCTTTTTCTGTATCAATGCTTTTCTTCCCAGTCCCCCAAGCAAGCACATTCTTCCTCTTTTCTCTTTGCTGCTGCTCCCTCCCTCCTTCCTTCTTTGGATAAGTGAGGCTGCTGCTGTATCTCATCCCCTCCCTCTCTAAGGCCACTGAGCTGTATCTGTCACACATAAACCTTTAAGACGTTTTAGGTCTCTTACTGGAGGTCTTCACCACATTTTGGGAGCCTAGGTTATAACAAGTACATTATACTCCATTTTGTGTTGAAACACAACATTTCCTTTAAGTGCATGCTTCAAAAGCACCAGACATGTCTAGCTGTATGTTCTCATGATGATGTTTGGATATTTTTCCTAATATTTTTTTCTTTACCTTGTCTCACCTGCCTGCCAGGCTCTGGAGCTAGACAGCAGC